CTAGTGCCAACCTAGCTCAGTCCTATAGCACAAGCTTCAGCCAAACTGGCCCAAGTATGAGCCCGGGAAGTGTGCTGCTTGGGTGAGCTTTCTCTCCACGCGCTCAGAGCTCCACGCATTAACACACATGGCCACCGATCCCCCTATTCGCGATGAGAAGCTCGCTAGGGGCGCGTCTGCTTTCCTCACTCTGGGTAGTTCTTGAGCTACCCACGCGGTTTTGTTTTAATTTTCATAGTGCATATAGAAGCTTGGCATTGCACGAGCTTCTGTACGAACTTTTTGTCACGTTGAATGAATATAAATTTAAAAAGTTTATAACATACTTGAAAAAAAAAAAAAAGTAAAACTGTGCTTCTCTACCGATGTATGCCAGGTTTCACAAGCTATTCAATGTATCCTATTTGCTCATAGCTCGGAGCGTCCGCTAGGGTCCACTATGAGGTGAAACGGAATATACACGTCTGCAAGCAGCCGCGCTTAGAGAGCTAGTCTGGCCACCGTAGATGGAAAACGCTTTGTTTGGGTGTCAGTCTGGAAACCGTGGGCACGCCTCAGCAATGCTTGAGTATCAGACGATCTACCCACACCGCCAGCAAGATGGCCCCGGCCGCCCAGATGCCTTACTTACAAACGTCTATAGTGGCCTGCAGGCAGCAAACCCTACACCCGGATAAGAAGATCTGCAGGCGTATTTCCGGCCCTATATCTCTCTACAGACTAGATCTGGCTTTGCCCGTTGACTGGAACGAGGCATCCCCCTCTAGCAGGTTCGTTTCTCGGGACGAGTCACAGGTGCGGAGAGGTTCGGTTCGGAGACGGTCGGCGAGCAGCGCAGAGCAGCCGGTTCAGCTCTGGGCAGCTGGCTCCCGGCAAGCGGAGGGGCGACGCCTCCTCTGGGATCTCTGGCAGAAGCGAAATCGAGACGGTCGAAGACGCCTCGAAAACCGCCCCCAAGGAAGAACATTGGGCGCAGGATGGGCGCACCCGTGGAGATTGTCGCTACGTCGCACAGGCAGGGGCCAGAGATTCCTATACCGTCATTGCCGGGCGAGCGTGGCGCCCTCCCGCTGAAGGAAAGACGACAGTGTCGGACTGCTGCCGGATGAGTCTCCTTCAAAGGCAACTTCAGTGGCACGAAATATGATCAACGCCGAAATATTACGTCAAAGCGAAGCCGCGTGCTCCACTAACACCGATTTTAAAGATGCGACCAGCTGCTCTTTAGCAGGTGGTAAGCGGGTTAGCTTTTAGTCATGCAACACTGGGCGACGCGTACCGCCGCAGCACCACCGCGACGTCACGTCACAGTGGTGCTGCGGTTCACTCTGCACGTTGTACCGCATACCGCAACACCACCGTGACGTCACGCCACGGCTGGATGAATGTCAATACCCTTTGCAACGGGAAGTAGCTTGCGCCACCTAGCCTATGTATAAAAGGACAACCATATGATTCATCCTGTCCTTTCAAGCCAATTTTCTCCATCTAATTATCACCAGGTTGTGTCGGATATCACCAGGGTGACCTCTGGGAATCGGGCAAAAATATTAAAAACATAACACCGCCTCTTCATCCCGCGAGGGAGTCGCCAATTTTCCTCTGGTCAAACCTTGTCGGCGTTACCCTAGCACCAGACCAACTGGAAGACAGGGTTGAGACTTTGGGCCGGAGCCACGCGGGAAAGACTCCCGATTTTCCTCTGTCCCGCCTGTCCCCACCTGTGCTAGTTAGTTGTGCATCACTCAATTTTCTCTAGATAATTTCCACCAATCTGCTAATCGCCCCTTTGTGACTGCAATCCTTTTCTTTTCCGTCCTTCCATCGTCGCCAGCGAAACCCAGGCCGCCGGCCAAATCCGTTGCCCCTTCAGGAAGGGTAGGGCAAAGCCCGTGCACTTCAAAACCAAGTGCTCTTGTGTCTCGCTCTCATTGTGGCAGCGAAACCCAGGCCGCCGGCCAAATCCGTTACCCCTTCAGGAAGGGTAGAGCATTGTGCATTTTAAAACCAAGTGCTCTTGTGTCTCGCTCTCATTGTGGCAGCGAGACCTGCAGGCCACCGGCCAAATCCGTTACCCCTTCAGGAAGGGTAGGGCGAAACCCCGTGCACTTCAAAACCAAGTGCTCTCGTGTCTCGCTCTCATTGTGGCAGGCGGCACATAATGTGTCTCCTGAAACTTAGCCCTATACATCATCGTCATCAAAACTCCCGTTCTCGCCTCAAACAGTAAAGAACTTCCCCCAGTTACTTGTCAAACATATTTTCTTTCATATGTCTTGTTTTTGTGACCTGTACACGGTTAGAGCTGACTTTTCCTGCCTTTATGCCTCCCACATTCTTTCGTCTCTCTGTCTTTCACTCCCTTTTCCACTGAAGTAGTCTGCACAGCCCCATCACTAGTGTGTAGGTATTTAAACGTAAGGTTTCGGATTCAGTGTGTCTATTTTGTGTATAAAATTTTTGTGTATAAATACTTGAGTACCTTCCGAGCCCACCGCGTGTCATCCATTTCGGTCACCCTTTGTTGAGATTTCAACTTACTATTTGCCTTCCTGCTCTCAAAAGACGACCATCCCATGTTCCCCTGCGCTCCCCCATTTGGTGTCTTTCCCTGCGGTCCCAGTGCCAATCTGCCTACGCTTCTGTCAAATTTCTAATCCTGATTGAACCTCTGATTTCATGCACAGTACCCCATTGCGAAACCACAGACGGCCGTACAGCTGACATCAGTGTTGCCATACCTTTCCGGCAGATTGTTTCGGGTTTGCCGTAGACGCCCGAAACCAAACTTTAAGCCGTGATATTTATAAACCTATACACAATATCAAGGAAAAAAAAAAAACTTGTAGATAGGGACATTGACTGAGCTGCAAACAGTCGTAAGCACAAATTGGAAAATATTGAGGGCAGTTGCCCCTTTTAGAGAAATCTTTGGTGTTAATTTGAATGTTTTCCACTACACATATTTTCTGAAGGAGCACTATAAACTGAGCACCGAATCAATTTTCCCAAAACTTTATCAATTTTTAATCCCAAAAATGCGATAAAACCGAAACTAACTCGCATCTTTACCGCTATCTTGTGTTGGTGTCATATGTTTTATAAACATCGGCAACATGACAGCTTGACCCTGTTTCGCATAGCGTCAGTAGCAGTTAGAAGGCTGTCACGATCGTCCGTGGGCAATAATGGTCAACCATTCATCAGTCTTGTCGGAGACAAGCAATGACCACCAAGAGTTTCCAAATTTTCAACACGAGATATCAGACTATTCGCCGTTGGTCTTTTACCCGCCAGCATGGCCTCCGAGGGGACCACGCGTGGCGGCTAAACTCGCGATCCGCCCGACACGTGAACCCAGATGGGACTTCAGAAGCGGAATGGTACGAAATGCTTTGTTTGTTAAAATGGCGAAAATTGTTTTCTAGTACGACGCGCAAGCTGGGGTCCAGCGTTAACGTCGGACTGCCCGGACCCGGCCACTTCCGTCGTAGAGACTTTCCCGGTAGAACCGACGAGACGAGCTTGAGCGTGCTCGCGGACTCACAGATACCGGATGGCGACGAGCACGTGTAGAAGGCCGGGCGTCCGAAAGAAGCACCCTGTAACTCCAATAAACGCCTCTGACGTCACATCACTAAGGTAACACTGCTGTCAGCACAACGGTTTTTCTTTTTACGCGAATCTGGTTTTGGCGTTTGCGCACTGACATAGGGAGGGTAAAAAAAACCTGACTTTTTTTTTTTTCTTTTTTTGTAAACAGCGTGCGGGGTTTATGTCACTGCAAGCGTGGCACTCCGGATAGTCCCGCACGAGTGTGAGCGCGCGTCATTAGCGCTTGAAAGTATACCTCTCCCAAGCTTGCTTGCATGCATGTACAAGTGCATCGACCCAGTCATGGTGGGGGATACGCCCCTCCCACCAGTAATACCACGTGACGTGTAAGGTGGTGAAGCGGGTGACGCTTTTGTTGGCTACTGCATGATTCGATTCCGCCGTGACCTACGAAAACACTCGACCTAACTTTTTTTTTTTTTTTTGTAGCCTCGAAATGCTATCGCATTTAAAAGTGCGAAATACAAATCGTGGCGAGAATTCGAGGTCCACATCTCTAACTCGCGAACGTCGTCAATTAGTGTAATATATTATTTATTCCGGTGTAATAAGGTATGTTATATTTTAAAACGAAAATCAAGAAGTTTCCTCGCGGACTGACTCGCTAAAATACTGTAAACGACTTAATTTTCGCGAAAACCTAATTTTCACGAATCGCGAACAATTCGCGAGAAATAGGTCCCGCGAACAATTCCGCTAAAATGTAAACACTTTGGAAAAAATATTGAGATCCCACCGCGTCGCGCAAATTAGAGCCCGCGAATTATTCCAAAACTTCCGCTTTGACCTAAATCGCGAAATATTGAGCCCGCGAAAAATAAGTCCTTTACAGTACTCATTCTCTTCCAGGGACGATTTGAGCATGCTGCCCGATAAACTGGTAGAGCTTCCCACTGTTCGCTCAGTTTCAGGCTAAATATATTGAATTTGACTGTGCGATTTATATTTATGCCATTTCTTACATCCCCTGTACCGGAATGGCCACTGGGCGTAGTATGCACTGAAAAAAAAGCGAACAAGTAAGTAAATTACGTATAAAATTGCAAATAAATATATAGAGGAAAACAGGTATTAAATAAATGGATAAATGACGGGTCGGTAACTCGGAGAATGGCCGGAGTTTCCGACGCTCCCGCGGTCCTTGACTTCTAAAGGCCCGTTCACACTCTTGCGACCGAGTCCGACCGAAAGAGACCAGACCGGTTTTTAAGCCTCCTGCGACATCTTAGGACCGGATGCTCTGCAGCGGAGCTGGTCCTAAGAGATCGCAAGAGGCTTAAAAACCGGTCTGGTCTCTCTCGGTCTTACTCGGTTGCAAGAGTGTGAACGAGCCTTTAAGGGCGCAGGTGCGCGAGCGACGTGAATGCTGCCGCGGGTGCACTTACATGGACGCTTCCTTGATCCTCTGCAATGACAGGAAGGCCCCACTCCGGCTGCCATAGTCCATATGATTCGAGAGGATGCCGTCGGGTAGACTTCCTACGAAAAAGCAACGCAAGATCCCCGTGAAAACGACGCAATACCACGCTTGTACCCGATTACGCCGAGAATGGAAGAAACTCTAGGCCGTCATGCATAACTTGGTACGCAACAACTTCGACAAAAAAAAAAAAAAGCCGTTATATTAGGAAGCCCGACTTGATCGTTCGCCAAGTGTTTTTTGGCGTCAAGTTCATTTTCTATTTGCCCCTCCCCCACTATAATGCCCTCACTGGTGCTGTGGGGTTATTCAAATAAATAAATAAAAAAGCAGGAGAATTCCCGTAAAACATCACTCGCTGGAACACTCTATCGACATGTTTACGTCATCGCTGCACCACGAACCGGTGACGTCAGCTACCGACTATAGGAAGCCTAGGCCACTAGGTTTGAACTCGTCGCGACTCAGTTAAATGACTAATTAACGAGCCAAAATAACTTATAGCTCCGTGCGAGGACGTAACGACAAAAAAAAAATATTCATAACACTACTTTTTAACATAGCCAAGACCCACGGTTTTATGTCAAAGACGAAGATTTTACTAGCGTTATTATTCGCTTACCAGTTTAGTGAGGCGAGTAATATTTTGAAGCATTCGTTGTCTGTGCTGTTCAGTGTTAGAACGCTCCAGAAAAATGTATCACCCTACTTGTTTGCCACTTTATTTTAAGTGCAATATAACTATCGTTAATCTAAAAACTGGGGGTGCGTACCGTAAACTATTTATTGTCTGCGTTTTTTTTTTTCGTGACTTCTGTAGTGTAGAGAGTCGTCACCTGGTGTTAGACAAGAACAGTTATGTGATTCGCTCATTTTTAGCACCTTTTGGGGCAGCAAAGAGTCTATTTCGGAGCGGAAAAAAACCCTTTTGAATCACAAGCACATGTTTTTTCTCGTCAATATTCATTCTACTGCAATGTACTACGTTAGGATTCATGTGTCGCCCTGCCAAAAAAAAAAAAAAAAAAATGCTTATTTGGTCTTACACATTTGTGCAATCACTTCTTAGCAACCACTGAAAACCATTGCATGTTGTAAAGGTACATGTAAAGATTTGCGCGAAAGCAAAGTCGGCAGGTGGAGAATAAATGCCTTTAAGAAATCCGTCTTAATGATGCTATTGCTGAGCTTTCATTCCACTGATAACTTAGTTTTAATTAACACCTTACTGACCGTCCACAAACAGTCGAGGCTTGTTTAGAGGTGTTAACTAAATATAAAAATTTTACCTACGAGGCAGTTCAGTCGCATCCAAATGAATATGATTAACCACCCTTTTCCCAACGCCCAGTACAAAGTATCAAGACTGCGAGTTGGGCTAGATGGACCCGGTTCATATGGATGTTTTATGCCGAAAAAACACATGGACGAAAAATGAGAGGTTGGCAACACAAGACAATGCGTCTTGTCCTGCGTTGCCTCTCACATTTTGCACTTGTGTTTCGATTTTATTTTCGCGATATAACTCCAGTATGTACAGATATCCTCCCATAAAACTCAAATAAAATTTTAAAAATAAATAAAAACGACCGCAAACAGTGATGCGCGAAACTTGTCAAAATGTTGCAGGTCACCATGTAAAGTAACATCAGTTTCATTTTGCAAAGTTTATTGCTACCTTTATTTTATTTTATTTTTTATTCCCTTTAAGTGCGCACACGACGCGTGATCATGTACCGCTCCATCCTGGATGAGGGCTTCACCCCTTAGCACGATGGTGCGTTGCAGAGAAGCAACATGCACAAAATCGGGATTCCTACCCCGAGGGAGTGACTTCTCTACAGTGACCTGGCCGCGGAGAGAAACGCAACCAACGGAGCTAATTAATTCGCCCGAAGAGACCACAAAGAATGAGCAATGTCCTTAAATATCGGAGTACCGAGTCATGACCGATACGAGGACTATATCAAAATAGAAAAATACGAGAAAGTTTTGCTTTTTTTTTTCGCATGCCTTTTTTATAATTATTAGCCAGTGGCAGCAAAACCTGAACTATTACTTTCCATATTAATGAGGTGAAATTAGCTTTTTCTTCGAGGTGGGCGAAAATTCCTCCGATCTTGGTAAACGATAGGAGGATGTAGCGGGGTCAGAACGTTAACGCAGTTTGGCGCAAATGGCACATCACCGCGAGAGGGTTACAAAGAAGAAGAAAAAATTAGAAAAAAAGACAACGAGAAGAACACCACACGTTTGTCGTTAAGACGCTTCAGTCTTGCAAAGAATAATACTACGGTCAACCATGGGCCAAATACTAAGGATCCGCATACAGAAAGCGCAGCAAAACGTCAGTGCAGGATGTCACGCACGCTGCCCTATGATAAGCTCACTCGACGCTCCGAGTTAGAGCACACGGCTAGAACGCACCCCAGGAGTTCCGCCCCGCATCTCGGAGTTGCGGTGCAGGCATGTGCTGTTGGGAAGACGAAGAGCGGAGCAGAGAGTGAAAGTTAACCCCCTAATAAGAAGTCTTAGTAAAGGGTTCCCTGAACTCCGGCAACAATGCTCACTACTCCGCGAGCGCATTGAGCGTGCATCGTATCGTTATCGGAACGATAAACGAAAACTCTCTAAACGGAGCGCAAGTTCGTCTGCTTCTTCTTGCACAGGGGTTGCGATGATGTCAGAACGGAAACTTCTTATTCGCTGATTGGAAAAACAAATAGTGGGTAGACCTCTGGGCATCTAGCATTGAGGTCTACCCACTATCCTTTCAATCAAAGCCTATCAGAGCTGGGTGCCATTCTGACGTTAGCGCAACTCCTGTTCAAGAAGTAGACGACTTGCTCTCCGCGTTGAAGAGTGTTTTTATCAGTTACGTTCCTCTTACGTTATCGGCTCCGTTCCGGTTACGATTCCCGAAGCAGGTCCGCTATAGCAAAGTGTTTGGTTCGGGATTCTGTTCCTGGCTGAATCACCGGCCGGATGAACGAACGTACAGCGAAAACTGCAGCCACGTGCTGTGCTGTTGACTGGGCAGAATGTCAGCCACCCCAAGACCAGTTGTATGGCGTTCACGGGACGCGAAATTACAGAGCGCTACAGAACAATGATTGTGCGAAGCTCGGTGAAAACAGCTTAGAACAAGAAGCCGACATTTACTTTCCAAAGCCCTGTCGAAACAGGACACTTCAAAAATCGTAAGGGGGACACGACTTCGTCAAACATCATGGAAATTGAAGCGTCCGGCAGGCCGATGTCTGTTTGGACATAGGCCAAGCAAACATCACGATTTTGCTCCTCGCTTCCTCCGCTTTTCGGACACCTCGGTGCTTGTCAGAGTCGACGTCACACGCCACCTGCAATGCTGACAATCGGTTCTGCCGGGCCCTCAAATCCTTGGACGGGTTACAAAATTTATACGATCTTAATCCAGGGTAATGGCTTCGTACCTTTGCGTTCGAAAACCAACCCGCGTTCAGCGCCGCTCTGCATCGTCACGTGACACGACCCGCCGGAGTAGCTCGGATCTTTTTGGGTAAGATTTCGAACCACCAGCCCTTCCCTTTTCCGTTTTCGGGACCCGAAGAGCAGCGGACTCCTTGAGCGATTGACCGACGGTCAACAGAGCTTGTTAGTGGCTGTCCGGACCCACGTGATGAGCATGACGAAGGCCCCCGTGAAAAGCACAAGCAATCTTTGACAAAAAAAAAAAAAAAAAAAAAAAACAGACTGAAGCGGGGCGCCGCACGATTTATGTCGGAGTCGTATCGCCTCACGATTTTTAAAGTATCCCGTTTGGACAGGCCTTGAAACGGCGCGTGGAAGTGCACGCCCGAACGAAAGACTCCGCCAAATGCCGGGAGCAACGTCTATAGGCGTGCCGCGGCAGAGCCTCAATTCGTCTCCGAGCGCAAAATCTCGGCCACGGGGCCGTCCGTCTTGAAGACGAGAAACGACAGCGGCCCGGACCTGTCCCGATGGAACTCCAAGGCCATCGGGGCTGCCTCGGAGATGCGCGTCGTCGGGCGACGCAGGCAGTCAGTCAGACGCGGGGTCGACCGCGGCGCGGGGCCACTCCACGTCGTTGCTCGGCCGCCTCGCAAGATGGCCATTAGCGCTGCATTAGCGCGACGCGAGTGACGGCGGGTGCATGGCTCTGACGTTGCCCCTTCAGATAAGGTTCGGGCCGACCGACGCGTCCCGAGACTCGCGCCTTGCGCGACCGCTCGTCGACAGACTCACCGATCGAATGCAGCCTCAGGCTGAAGAGTCCAAAAAAATGAGGGGACGTGAACGTGGCGAAGTGGACGCGTTGACTGCGGGCGACAGCTGGATCGTTTCCGTTGGCACGGTTTGGACGCGGTCGGCACTTTTCTCCCGGTGCTTCAGCGTTCCAGCAGTCCGGGACGCTGCTGTCTGGGACGGCAGCGTCCCAGACAACACGCCTAACTTGGCCCAAGTTTGGCAGTCCTAGGGGCCAAACATGGGTCTAATAAGGTCTCGCTCCAAGGCGTTAATTAGTGCCAAAGTAATTTTCTCCGGCTTTTTTCTGGTTTCAAACACAATTATCAAAGTGCCAGGCATGAGACGAAAATGCCACACATCAGCCCTACACGGCGCAACGAAGCGTAAGTCAACGATTTGTTTGGGAATTTTGTCCAAAAGTTGCCAGGTGAAAACCGAAAAAAAACAAAAAAAAAACAAGAAATGAAGCCGATTTCCGGGATTTCTTCGGAAACAGAGGCCCCCAAAAAGCCAGGTGACAAACGAACAACCAGGCAGTGAACAAAAACTCTTGCACTTTTTCTTACACTTTTGGAGTAAAATATTTAGACTCCGGCCAAAGAGCTTTGGATCCCCCAAGCAGCTCGGACAATCCAACGCATTAGCGTCCCACATTCTAAAGCTCTCTGATAGAGAATTTTAGAACACGGGGCCCAGAGCTACCGGTCCTTGAAAGAGCTTGGGGCCTCACTCGGCCCATACGCAGTGCCCCGGAGCAAGCTATATGGGGAACCCAGACTACAGCCGCCATAACTGACCTTCTGTTATCGCA